CCTCCTGCGCTACTTTCCACCCCCCCCCCCCCAGTTTCAGCCTCCTGCTCCATGATGGGGTGACCAGTCATTAGATACTCTGCTCTGTAAGCAGAACATTACTTGAATTTCTAAGCTTAGCAGATAGGTTTTGGTGCGTTTCTATTGCAGCAGTCAAGAAGGCTGTTTATGACACCATTAAGACATTTCAGTGCGGAATCTAACTTACACTGGAACTACAGTTTCTAAAAGTGTAATTTCTTCATATTTTAGCGATTTCCTTGGTAGGTTGTGGCATAGAGGAGGTGTAGACGACCTGATTACAGGATCGTTATCAGAACAGTTTCATTATGAGCATTAGTTAACTCAAATTATTGATTTCTCAAATGTCATTAATTTGTTCTGCAGTGTGGATAGGTGTCTACGTGAAGACTTTTTTTTTAAGTGATGTCCTGTCTCGTGTGGCCTTTTGTCCCGTTCCCCCCCCCCCCAAAAAAAAAGATGGGGGATGGAATATGCAATTTCAATTACATTTGATATTATACTTCAGTATTAATTTTAAAAACTGTCGTGGTATGAACTTCCAAAGTTAAGCTGAAGTTCTGTGTAGTAACTCAGCTGTTGTGTTGCAGGATGTTTCATTTCCAAAGCAATTAACGTTTTAGCAAGCTTGTATGAAGAAGGGAAGCAATTATTTTCACTTCAGACTTAGCAAAACAGTTTGCAAGATAAAGTTGAGAACACAAAAGCTTTTAATAAGGGTGTGCCATGCATACTAATAGCATTGGGTACCTACATTTTTCCCAATCTCTGGAGTATAAAGTATACCACGTCTGTAATTATGTACTTGATTTCTGGCCACAGAGTGCTGATAACTTTTAAATCATGATGGCGCCATACTTTTATATGAAAGATGTTCACAAAGCTATTGTGCTTTTTTTCCACTGTGTTTAAGGGGGCTTATTGTCTCCATTCCCAAAATGACTTCAGTTACTGCTGAATAACAGTAATGGTCCCTAGTGTTGAATAATATTATGCATTAAAGAAGATATTTCACTGACTTTTAAGAACTTGAAAAATTAAGCTCGCTCTTTAGCTGTGGTTTTTGTCCTAACTTGTACAGCATGTATGTCAAAGACTTAGTAGGGCAGCTGGTATAAACATCCTAGTACCATTACATAAAATTTGCACTGCGTAAAGACCTATTGTTATGCCCCTGCTTCTTGACCCAGTGCGTCAAGGTCAGCAGTTATTTTGTGTTAAGACTGATAGAAAAATGTGTTCACCAGCAATGTGGTTCACCGCTTTGAATGTAGCGATTTCATCTTGCAATTAAAGTTTGTGCTATTCTTTTTGCCTTTTTAAGAGGTAAATAAATGTTGTGAGGCAGTGTTACAATAATGTTGATGCTAGTGCAAATTATAGAACAGATTTCTGGATGCACATACACCTACAGAAGGGGTACCTTTTGACAAGGGTTTGTCTTGCTCTTCTGGTAGCGTAGGTGTCTAACCACCTCAGATTTCATATGTTCGTTCCAACAGTGGCTTTCCTAGTAGAAAAGACAGGGATTGTTCTTGAAACGGGTTGTGGAAGCACAGCTGGGTGATGCTGCAGAACTCTGAAGTGGATGAATTGCATACTAC